TCTGATAGGACTTGCTTTCGAGTAAATTTATTTACCAAGCAAAAACAGTTAAATTATAAATTATAACAGTTAAATTATAATTGTGTTAAAAAAACAGCTAAATTATAAATTGTGGCTTTTTGATTTATTTTTGTGGCTTAAAAAATGATTTAGGAAAACTGCAAATGTAAAGTGCTGAAAATTAGCATAACCTTTACTGTGATATTGTTTGTGAACATATTTCTTCCAAAATATAAAATGTTCACGTGTTGTCACTGTATGCAAATTTTTTTTCCACTGTTTTCTATAATAATCCTGCCTTATTTATTTATTATTATTTTTACTCTTGTTTTTTTCTTAAATAATCCGAACGTAGGAAGATTTTTTGGATGAACTAGGATCTAATTAGGATGATTCTTTTTCTGTGACATATTTCCATTTCAATATAACATAAATTTCCATTTTGTTTTTATTTCATAAAGAAGTACTTTCAATGAAAACTTTATGCCTGATTTCTTTATTAGTGCTTTCCGTCTGATAATTAAGGCTGTAATCAGTGATTTGAATCCAAACAATATTTTTTGCAGTAATTATACAGCAAAGATAGTCTGAATTTTTTTTTCAGTACACAATAAGGCTAAGAAAGTTCTGTCTAAATATTTTTGAATGTTGAATAAATAATATGTTTTTGGATAAAAGAGATCAAATTAGTTCAGCCATTTTAAATCTAAATTCAAAGTAAAATTATATTTAGGAAAAAAGTACGGTCAAAACTACCAGAATATGTTAAAATATACAGTGTTTCCTACTTTATATGAACATCAAGAATCTCGGAAAATCTTGTCGAAGTGTGCTCTGGTATTGATTTCTCGAAAATTATCAATAAAATATGCTTTTATAATCTGTGATAAAATTTGGTAAATGAGGTAAAATTAGGTAATCACGATATCTTAGAGCACTGCCTAAAAACCATTTATTCGAATAAATTTATTTTTTTTGTTTTGCTTTGTATATTTTACTAAATGTGTGGTAATAAAAACTATAATTTCGAAAACCAGAATTTCAGACAAACCGATACCATATGAACGGAAAAATTACTAAATAAATGGCTTAAATACCGTAAAATTTAGTTTTTATTACCAGAATTATTTTTTTTAAAACCGATAACCTTACAGTACGGTAATTTTATCAGAATTTTTTACTCCATGTGGGTATCAAGTATGAGCCAATTGATTTGCATTTATTATTTATAACATGAGCGTGTTTTTGAAACAACATTTTGTTATATTTCGATATTATGTTAAAATTAGAGTATCTCAGCTTGAGATTCGAAAGTTTGAAATTTACAAATATGGAAAATTAGTGAGAGGTATTTTTCTAAAATTAATTAACTAATTCATTAATATAGAGTGTTAAAATGTCACGTACGCTCCACAAGGAATCGTAATTGCTTATTTCACTAATATATATATATATATATATATTAACCTTAGAAGGAACATATGAAAGAAGGAAACATCATATTTTGTACTCCAATTGGCATAATTGTATCAACTTTACTTAAGTATTTTATTAACTTAACTTTCATTCAAGCAATGACAGACCAATATTGAAACTATGAAGAATATTGATTGTATTGAAGCACTTCAGTTCCTTGTAGTCACCAATAGTAAAATGAATTGTGTGAAGGATTTTTTAAAAAAATTTGAAAATCCACATAAATCCACATTAAAGTAAAGAAAATGATTTTATTAATTGTTTATTTTTTCTTTTTTATTCATTAATTGTTTTATTACTTAACTTATTTCATTATTATTCAAATTGCTTTATAAAAATAGCGGGTGAAATTGTAACAAGAAAATTTTATTAGTTTTCCACTTTCCTGTATTGATACCAAAAGTAAGTAGAACTGTCTTCTACTTAAACTTTTTTCCTTTAATATTGCTCACTTAAACAGCAGAAAAATGTATTTCCTAATTAAACAAATTTGTGTTGTAATAGTGGAAGGCTAGTTATTATTAACTCATTATAAATATGCAATTTTACATCTTTACTATTAACATTTTAAAGGTGATTTAGAAATTTGTCATAATAATTTCTGGTAATATATCGTACTATTTATATCAAACTTTTACTGTACATCATTATAAAAATAAAATCTTATGGTGTACTGAAAGTTGTCTAATTTAGTTTGGTTTCATTCTTAGTATTTTGTGCTTGTTGTACTAATTATTATATGTTTTAGGGTGTTTCGTGGCTCACAGTAAGGTACATGCTGGGAGAGGTGCAGTATGGAGGGCGAGTAACTGATGATTACGACAAAAGACTGTTAAACACAATTGCAGAGGTATATTATAGATCAACATGTTTTGTCTAAAAGTACTAGTATGTTATGCTTAACTGAGGTTTAGTTTATATAAAATAGCACTTATATTAGTTTTTTTCAAAAGGCGAAGTACAAAAATGTTGGTATGAAGGAATTATAGAACACAATTTTTTCAGTGAAATGAAAAAAAGTTATATGTATTATGAAAACCCATACCAAACAAGCCCTAATGCAATATGTACCCCTTTAATTATGGTGTGTTGCCCTTTTTGATAGATAAATAACCTGGTCCTAAATTGCACCCAAGATTTTACCTTCTTATTTATGCATTAAGACTTCTATTATAGCACCTTTTTATCAGTTTACATTGAGTTTGTAATGTTGCTTACATTTGGTGATGAAAGTCAGCACTGTCCTATTCAACTGTATAGCTGATACTGCACTTGAGCTACTTAACTCTACGTTAAATCCATCCAATTTCAATTAAGAAGTCAAATAAGAAATAAGTAAAATAAGGAATTAATAAGAAATTAAATTTGATTTGAATTAATAAGAAATTAAATAAGAATTTTTTGTCTGACTTTACACTGCTTTTCTTTTTGATAAGTGTTTTTCCTTTAAAAACTTTTTAGAAACAATTTTGGGGGACCATATGTGTCTATAATATAAAATTTATTTCAAAAATATATCACAAATTTTAAACAATCTTTCCCACAAAATGTGTTAGTTTTCAATCAGAAATGCGTTAAGATGTCATTTTCATTGAATCAACAATGTAGTACTAAATGCATAAATTGTAAAATTTATTCAGAACCTAAACCTTTTTCAGTGTCACATAGATAAACCTGCATCAGTAGAACAAATGGCACCACTTGTCTTGCTGATGAAAGTTTACCTATGTGACCTTACCTATGTGGAAACCTTTATCAGTGTCACATAAATAAACCTGCATCAGTAGAACGAATGGCACCACTTGTCTTGCTGATGANGGCAGACGATTCCTGTTTGGAAAATAATGTATGTATGTGTATAATATATATATATATATATATATATATATTACTCCTTTTTATAAAAAAATTTTAAAATTTCTTCATAAGATGATATTGACACAATTGATATGATGAAACAATCTTTATTCAGTGAATAGCGCAAATTTTTTCCTGTTTAATACGCTGTTTTTTGCTTTATTTGTTTTTTTTCTCTTATGTTTTATTTGTTGTCTTTTTTCTATATTCTGTGTAAGTATAAATTTAATAGCTTTAAAAGTCTCTATAATGAATCGTGTGTCCTCAGGAGACCAAAATAGTTTTGTTAGTTTATTCTTTGTAAAAATATAGATGAATAAACAATTTTATAAGTAAAAAATCGTTCACAAGTATGTTTTTGAATGAATGAATATTTTAAGTTAGTTTTTTGTGCAATTATTGAAAAAATTGAACAATTAAATATTTTGAAAAATATCTGTGTTTATTTTTTTATTTTTATTTTATTAAGTGTTTTCTATTTGTGTTTAACAAATAAAAATAAAAAACTTTGATAGTTCATTTTTAAGAACAGAGATAAAAATTCGCAAGTGAATTTTTAACAGAGACTTATATTAATTTGGTTTTATGTATTTTTAGAATGAGAAAAATTTTTTAAATCAAGAATTGGTAAAAATATTGATTTTTTAAAATTATGTATTAATTCGTAAACAAATTTAGATGAAAAATATATTGGTTGAAACACATGTCCAAATATTTTTTAATGATAAAAGAAACGGTAGAATAATTGGATTACATAAAAATACGTTTAATAAGACACTTATAACATTAAAATACAAATAAATGAAGACAAAATATTGCAAATAGTAGAAACTCATGATATTCATTACTTTTACGGAACTTTTTATTGATTTAAATTGCATATGAATAATTTTTTTTATATTTACCACTTTAAATGGAATTTTCAAGTCTGATGGAGAAAAAAAATGTAGTATCATACGTAGGTAAATATTATTTTTACCCAAAACGCTTTGAGCTTTTATATTTCCAAATTATTATTTTTACTATTTCCGAAATTTTTCAAAATATGTACCATACTAAATTTTGATTACGAATCAAAAATGTGCTTATTTCAAAAATTTACTAAATTAAATTAAAAGATGCATTTAATATAAAATAAATCACTCTTAAATAAATTAATAATTAAAAATTTGTCTTCAGTCACCCGTAAACTATTTCGGTCTCAGAACAAGCGAAATTTTCCCCACAATATTTTATTTCTTTCCTCCCCAAACGCTATCAACAAATTCTAAGTCTGAATTTTGGCGCGCTTACAAATATAGCGTGCTATATCTTACGGAGATATCGCTAAAGGCGCAACTAATGTGTGCCAAATAGACTAAGGGTCACTTGTCAAACATTGAGCTAGCCGCTTCAGAGGCCAACTGAAAACATTCGTCTCAAGTCCAACGATACTATCAGAATAATAAATGCTAATACCATGAAGCTCGGACTACATCACACGGAAAGACGGGCCTTTCCCCATTGGCGCGATTCCTACGCCTAATCATTCCATTGGTTCTTGGCACCCAAAATGGGCGGAGCTTTAGTCAGTCACCTGTTGGCGTTCCCGCCAACCGCTCCCAAGGGGGCGGTCTCCTGCGGGAAAGAGCCTGTTACTCTGGACTAGTGAGTAGTGAGCACAAGCACAAAAGACATCCCCCGGAGGTTTAGTTCCGTCAAATCGTCATTTACAAGCAGGACGTCGTTCTGCGTCCGGCGCCTGTGAATCGTCTCCCGTTCCGGTTATAACACCGTTTTCCAGGCACTCCCGATCTCAAAGGCGTACTATTGCTCAAAGCTTTTGGGTTAACTTGGGACTCAAAGCGATCTAATAAATAAACAGCGCACTTTTCAAGTGAAGAAAAAAAGAAGTGAGGAAAAGCATAAAAGCTTACCTTCTAATTCCCTTGTGGAATGTATAACTCCAACTGGTGACCCAGGCGGGACACCACTCGACAACTGTCCCACGAGGGTCATTTTCACTTTGGATGGACTTCGTAACTCGCTTAAGTGTCGCCTAGGAACTATAGTGATGAATGTGGACATTTTTTGTCTGTTTAATATATCTCTTCGTTGTTTTGGCATGCATCATATGACTCTGTTTAGATGATTATGTACTTTGCGAATAAAAACAGTTAAAATATTATCAAAGGATTTGTTTTTAGTACTATCGCAATCATTTGACATCTCAAAAAACATCGTGTTATTCATCCCAAAATCTCATACAGGATGGAAAAACAAGATTGAATTAAAAAACATCTAGTAAAGATGAAGTCCGAAGTTTACAAGTTGTAACAGACGGTTAAAAACAAGCGATCTTAAACCAGGACTATCAGCACAATCAATTTCCTCTAATCCATCAAGAATCAATAGCTTTGCAAAAAAGAGAATAAAAACATTGCTAAGTTGTTGCTAGTGGCTGTAAACAATAAGTCGATCGCCGTACACGGCCAAACATCGAGTGGAGGATTGCAAAAGTGCGAACCGAGCACCGTGTGACGTCACCATCCCCAACACGTGGTCCAAAGCTGAAGAGGGCGGGCGCTGAGAGGACTCACTAAAGATCTCATTGTTGTTGGAAAGTCCCAGGCGCTCGCTTGATCTATCGCCGTGAGGCTTACGACAAACGAGTTAAGATGATGTTCGGGTTGCAAGATCCTGGCCTCCAGCCCAGGGGGCCCATGGCCACTCTCAAAGAAGAACCTCTCACATCTGCCCAACTGGGCAGTGTTCGAACGGGATGGATGCAACCGACGATGATTGACCAGACAGCCGGAAGGTGAGATCTTTCTTTTAATCGCCACACGTGGTATTATAATATTCTTGTCAATTTTATGTGTCATAGCTCTTAACGATAACTTGTGTATTCATATTTAATAATATTTGAGATTGTGTTTTAGTACAAACCTAATAATGTTGGACTTGTAGATGATGATAATGACACTAATTTATTATTTTAGGTATCATCTTAACTTATTTCTTAGACATGACACTTTGTCAAATTTTATGCTCCAAACATTTTAAATGGCAAATACTATAGATTCTATTTATGATTAACATTCAAATTGTGAATTTTGTTATTACATATAAATCTCTTCTTTTATCTCTTTGAATTTTATTGATATTGGTATAATGATTTTATTTTTTAATTTTAGATAATTACAAATATGTTTGATAATTGCAATGCTTCTATAAGCATACAAAGTGATTGAATTTTTTACTAGTTGGCTGTGAAAGATAATAAAACTTAAATTATACTTTTCGCAAAACATTGTGGATTGAAATCACTCTTTGGATAAAATATTATTTAAATATTGATATTCTTTAATAGAACGCATGATTACATAAAGCATATTTTTAAGAATTATTACATTTTTTGTCAATTTTAATTTTATTTATTTGCGTTTTATTTATATAATATGTTGAGAAAAAGGTGCATATATTTTAATGGGATGCAACAAAAAGCAAATTCGGATAAAAACAATAAAATTTCGCTAAAATTTATTTTGCGTCTAATTTTTTGGCATTAAATTGTATTTACTAAATAGCTTTGTATTTAGTGTCACTATACTTTTTTGTACTTTAAATTATTAGAAGCCTTTATGGTAACACCTAGAATTTTGTAATAACTTAAGTTAATTTTAATAATAGCTACTTTTATTTATATATTTTTTCAATAGTTCTTTTAAGCTGAAATAATTGTTGGAAGTTTTTTAAAACTCCACATTATGATTTTCAGAAACTAAATATATATATTCCTTTTAATAATATTAGAGATTAAAAGTTTCATGCTTTTTTAATACACAATCTTGATATAAAGAAATAGACATGATCTTTCATTAAAATTGTATTTCTAGCTTATAAAAAATAAACTAACAGTGTTTTACTAAACGAAAACTAAACGTAATAATAAGTGAATTTAGAAGACTTAATATATTTAGGTAACAGTAACATTAAGTTCGAAGCATTGTTTTATTAAAATCATTGTTATGACAAACAATAATGAATAACACAGAAACTGAAGAATTGTTTTCTATGTTATTTATAAATTAGGTACATATTACATTTTATTATTTTTTATATATATTTATTGAAATGTATTCTAACAGTGCCCTGCAAATTTCGTAAAATTTTTTTTTTTAATATTTATTATATACAAGCCAATTTATTTTCTTTTAATGCATTTAATAATTTTTTCTCACGAAAATTTAGCTTAATCTTTACATAAATTTGAAAATTATGAACCTAAAAATACTCTTCTAAATTTTTAAAAAAGCGTCAACGAGTATAATTTTTTTCCACCGTGGCTTCGAAACCCATGAAAGCCGTCGGGGAAAAACAAAACCAGGGTTTATATTCGGAGACTCTCTCCTCTTTTCAATAGAACCAAGTTATGAAAAAGTAGTTTTTCTTTCCTTCAAGAAGTTTCCTTAAATTAAAATTTATTTATTATTATTATTTTTTATTATTATTATTTTTTATTTTTTTTAGTTGTCCACAGAAAGTTTAGCTTCAAATATTTTAGAAATGCTTATTATAATTCCTATTCAAAATTTTCAAAAAACATTTTATCGAAGTTGTTTGAAACTTATAAATTAATAGTTTATGGTATTACAATTTATGTTATTGCTAATATATTTTCGTTTAAAATTTGAATTAAATCTTTAAATTAATGTGTCACATCTGGATTCTCTATTTCGAAGTTTCTGGTCTATCTTCATTATCTATTTCAACATGTCTTGAACTACTCATTAATTTTCCTTTTTTTAATACAATAATATTTCTAAATGCGTTAGATAACTTTAAGATAGTGTTATCATTAGTATGATTATAGATATTAAAAATAATTTGACATTGTACATGTTTATTAAAATAGTACTGTTATTAGTTTTATCTGACTCTACATATAATTATCTTACATGTAAACCTTACTTTAAACTTACTCTTATCTTGCATGTAAACCATGCACTGTAAAAGTTAGATAAAACAAGATATAACTTGTGGATATAACATAGTAATTTTCTATTATAGTATTTGCTAAGTTCAATGATTTGTTATTTTTAATCGGTCTTCGTGTAACTTTATTACTTGATTGCGAAAAAGTTTCATCATAATCTATTTCAACCATAGTTGTTATGCATAATAAACGTATATTTCTGTGATTTATAAATACATTAAAATATTACGTTTGTTTAGGGAAAAGCATAATTGTGAATTTAGAATGGAATTGTTATTATCTTTTTTAATTATTGTGTCAATATTCGAAGCTAATATAACAGTTCAAGTGCAAAAATTGTGGTAAACTCATCAAACTTTATTATCCTAAATATTGGTCATTCCGTTTCAAATAAGTATTCATTTATTCGTGAAACTTTTATGCTTATTTAAATAGTCCTTAAGCACCCTCTTTTTAATTTTCACTTTTCGGTAATCCCATGTTAATATCAAAAAAAATGTTTTTTTCATATCATTCATTTAATAAATATATTCTTTATTTCAAATTATTTTTGGATTAATTTAATATTATACTTATTTTTGGATTATTTTAAACTTTCTGTTACATAACATATATGGTTACATGCCTCTGTTGTATTAAAAAGTATGTGTGTTGAAAATTTTTTAACATATTCTTTTAGTTAAATTATTAAAATTGTTACAGCATTATTATTATTTCTTTTAATCCTATGTACAAATTGTTGTAAAGCGTTATCTAAATAAACATATCTTTATTTTAAAATATTTATTATTTTGTCAAATTGTTTTTGAAAAATGATTTGAATATATTCAATTGCTGAACGTGAATTTTTTTTATCAGTCGCCGTCACTAAAAATTTCGCATTATTTCATTAGCAAATTATATTGTTTTATAACGTATTAATAAATCTTTCTTACAAATAAAATATATATTCTAAGAAAAATTCTTGAAGGAGGATATCAAATATTTTGATGCCTACACTAAAATTATTACTAATTAAAAAAATTTCCAGAATATTTATGCATAAATCTAAGCATATATTGCATGGCATACATACTATAACCACGTGCGCGCAAAGAAAACTACATTAAGTAAATAGACAGGCCATTCTAAAACTTGATCCATTAAGGGAAATCGTGGAGCATCATTAACTTTTTTAAAGATGGGGAAAAATTCAGCGGCCGAGTTGGATTTTGTGGCTTTTCTTTGCTTTGATATAAAGAATCCGTTTGTAAAGTCTAAAAACCAGTACAAAAAGCATACATTAATTATTCTGAATTCTAGAAGAAAATGGCGGAATGGTTGTGAAATGAACTTTTGGTCTCACAAAAGTGAATCCCATGTGTTTTAAAATTCTCTTCTTCCTCTCTGCAATACTGCAAAATTCAAGAAACTATGAACGGGGGACTACTAAATCTAAAATAGACCCTCCCTAATCCTGTAAGATGCCAGCTCTTCGCATCTAACAGCGTTATTCCTTTTGGAGAAAGAATCCCGCAATTTCATTACAGTAGCTCGCTCTTCTTACCATTTCTAGCAAACTTTTCCGAATGCTTCCAATAAAATCTAAATTTATTTAGACTTTGGCTGAGTTTTCCTTAAACTCCGTATAAGAGCCAATATTCTTTATTCCCGCCAAGGGCCTCGCTTATGAAAAATAGAAACTTATGAACTTAAGAAAGGCTTACTAATTGAGATGATAGTAGAAAAACAAAAGCTAACTTTGGGGATATATTAAATAAAATCTAATAGTGATTGTCTAATTGGAATGGCATATGGTATTTGTTAATATTGGAGTAGTAACATTGAATATGCGTCAATAAAAGCATACAACTTAGAAAAATATTAAATATTTATTTAAAAAAATCTTTTCGATAGGGATCATATTGAATATTATTTAGGAAAGGCTCGTTAGAAATATTAAAGATGACTGCAAATTTAAAAAGAAAAGTATTTTTGAACCTCATTTGTAAATGAAAAGAATCGAGACAAATTATTTATTTAAATAATAATAAAAAAAGCATGTATTTTTTGGTCTTTATTACTTGTAGTATTATGTACTAAAGTTTATATATTTATACAGAAAATAATTTAAATGAATTGTTTGAGAAAAAGTATTATAACATTATTTTAGCACTTGTAAAAAAAGTTTGTTATATTTTACATTTTATTCTTGTTTTAATATGAATTTTATGTATTTTTAAACATTAGCTAGTTTCTTGGCAATTTATTACATGCATTGCTTGTTCTTGTAGCATTATGATATCAGGTTAAATTCTTTGTTTATAACAAAACATGTGCAAGTTTTTAAATTAAAGAATATGGTATTCATTCAAAATCATAATCATTAAATCATTCTAAATTTAGCAGCTTTTCCCTCAAACTTTTTAATCCATCTTATTTAATTTTGTTTTCAATTTTAAACAGTAAAATACATTGTAGTTAAAAATTTCTTCTTTTAATTCTAGTCTATCTTACTATAGAAATTCATTTTTATTAGTCACCACAATGTCAAGTATTCTTTTATAACTTTCTTTTAATATCCCATTATTTTAATGCATTTTAACAGACTTTGAAAGTTTTCGTTGAATTAGCAAAATAAAATGTATTTTAGAATATTTAATGCATTATTGTTGAAATTGATATTTCCGAAATAATACAACCATGTTTATCTTTCGTGATAACAATTTTTAAAGCATATTTACAATATTTGAATTTAAAAAAAAATCAAATATTGTAAACCTGCTATTTGCTGTCTGTTTTTGGAGAAAATAAATTGAAAATATTATCAATACTTTTAAATATATAGTTGCGGTCTTTAAAATTCCCTTAATGCAATAAAAAAATTAGTCGAAAATTCCCTCATAATTGCATATTTTTAAAACAACGCGAAAATGTTATTAGCATTTTTCTTGTCATATCATAAGCATTTGATCATAAGAATTAAAAAAGTGATTTAAGAATTATCATAGAAGCGGAAATTTTTCTTTTAAAAAAAAAAAAGTTCTTTTTTTGACGTTTTTTTTAAACGTTTTTGCTTTTTATGAACTAGCAGTAAGATTTAAGTTTTATAGTTTAATAATAGTGACTATACATTGAATGACATTTAAAAGCATATTACAATGAAAATACTATACTTTTATTTTATTTTAAATCAAATACTGCTATATAATATTGTAACATTATAATTAGTAAGCGTCTAATATATTTTTAAATAAAATTACAAAATGAAAAATCGCTAAAAAAATGAAAGTCATAACAATTAAATTCGACCAAATTATTTTTCACCAGACACTTGAAAACATTATGTAAAAAATCTGATAATTTTATGTTAAAATACTTTTGATGTTGTAAGTATTAATACTTAAAGTGTTTACAGATATTTAATAGCAAAAAAAAAAAATAATCATCAATGACACATTTTGATAAAAACAGAAAGAGCTTTGTAATAGAGCTCAGTTTATTAAATTGCCAGTTAGGAGTATTTATACTTCACCGTTTAAAATCATTCAAATACATTATAAAGTCAATTATATAATATCACATCAATCATATGAAATTGTATCTAAAAGTATTGAAATGCTTTTCATTTATTCAAAAAAGTATTTAGTTTTTTTGTTAACTTTAAGTACACGATATTCTAATATCGTATGAAATTCCAGTCCCTAAACAGGCTTTTTAATGAATATTATTGCAAGTTATGTTTTGGAAATTTTCATATGCTTTTCACAATAAATTAAAGTTTCTGCAAATGCAGTTGTTAAAAAATATATTTACTGACCTTGAAAATTTACTTTTTAATGCATATCATATTATCTTATGATTTCTTTTAAAAAAATCTACGCAGAACTCTTAAATAAATAGCAGTTCTTATGAGTTTTAATTACTCGACTAAACTTTAAATGGGCTCTTGCACAAATTTGGATTAAAATTGTCGGACATAACATATTTAAATATCTAAATGTATTTAAGTATGAAGTAATCTTTGTAACGTATTATATGTAACTTACTTTTATTTAACATGCATGTAAGAAATTTTACGGTGGGTTTCACCCGCAGTTGCTGAATTTTAAATGAGTTTATTGCCAAAAATTTGCTGATTGAAATCAGAATTTAGGAAAAGTAAAAGAAGCATTTTTTTAAATACTTCCTTCTAAGTTTAATTTATTAATTCTTTTATAGGTAAATTGAAACAGTTGATTTGGAATTATTAAGAGTTATTTTTCACGATATTTTCTAAGTTGCATTGTATTCAACTTAAAAGATCCGCTAATTTTTACATCGGATTATTAATAGTTAAGAAACGATTCCAGGTAACAAATTTTCAAAGAGATTCTGCTCTTGAGTATAGTCAATTCTTAATGAATTTAATGTGCTGAACTCGAATATTGCAAAGAAACAGCTAAATAATAGGCTAAAATTATGCTTTATTGATTTTTTTTCCAATAGTATCTCAAACTTGTTTTTATTTATTTTGAAAGGGCTTTTTGAACTTGGGGTCTCTTAAAATCTGATCGATTTGAAGCTCCAAAAAAATATTTTTTTCTTTTAATTTTTGTGACACTGAGATGAGAGTTCAAGGTACTTCAGGATATATAAATAAATAAATAATAATAATAATATATAATTGATAATTATAATTAGTATCTTATAATGAAATTTATGACATAATGTATTTATTACATAGTACTTAAACACCTTTCTAACAAAAATTTAAAAAAATTAAGGGTTCTTGTCATGAGAATTGTGATATTTTTATTGCAACATTGTTGCCCAGTTTAATGTGTAAGATTATCTTTCTATTTTTATATAACTTTTTGAATATCTGTGAATTGTTGTGAAAATTTTTTTACAAATTATTTTTTTCTTATTTTTTTCAGTGTTGGTCTAGGTCGAGCACATTTTGAAAAACAGCCCCCAAATAACCTCAGAAAAAGCAATTTTTTTCATTTTGTCATTGCATTGTATGATAAAGCTGGTCAGCCCGTTGAAGTTGAAAGAACAGCTTTTGTGGGTTTTATAGAAAAAGACCAGGTAAGTTGTGAATAATGCATTTAAATACTTTTTGTTAACTTGATTACATTCAATTAAAATATTTTTTACTTTTAAATTTGTTCAATGTAATGTAGTTCCAGTTAATTTGTCCAATGTAATCTAATGTAAGTCCAGTTGAATTAACTTAAATCGTGAACTTCTACCCCGTGGTACGTATCTCGGCGTAAGGCAAGGCAGAATTTTAACATTCGCGAAGACTAAACGAAAAATTAACAAAAATTTAATCAGGAATTTTACCTAATTATTACTGCATTGCAATAATTGCTGCGGACATTTTTACCAATAAGCGATTTTCCACTTTAACTCGATTTGGTAGTCAGATATTGACGTAGATTTGGTTAATTACCTTAAGAAGAAAATGTTGTCTGTATGAGCATAATAAAAGCAAAAGATCGTTGAGACAAATTGATATGCATCCAATACACTAGTTTTTTTAATATTTAAAAGAGAGTCGCAGTGGCTCAGATGTTAGAGCATTGGCCTCCCAATGATGTGATACAGGTTCAAATCCCAGAGATGGCGGATTAACATGAATTCTGCTTTCGGTCCGGAACTGCCACAGTGTAAACCAGAAATATCCTTAGTGGTAGGCGGATCGTGGCTTAGAATTAACTTTCCGGGTGGACTAAAGGTAAGAGGTTTTGTGGTTTTCCTTTCCATATAACGCAAAAGCAAGTTAGTTTCATCAAAAATTCTCTGCGAAAGCTAGTTTGTTTTCTGTGTTGGGTCTCAAAATTTAGAGGTGACGGAGTTTAATATTGATAAACCCAAACCTATAAATGTGTCAGCTGTTCAACGTCGGTTCTAAAATATCTTCAAGAACTGTTCACAATATAGATTAGCTGGCAAATAAAATTAAAAAAAAAACACATTAATTGTTTAATGACTGTTTAATAATTAATAAGAAATGTATTTTTCTTGTTACTTTATACATAACTGACTAAACCTTTAAAAATGTTTTTATTTTATTTATTTAAAAAAAAAAAAAAGCAATAGTGCCTAAGTACTTGCTTTTGTTTTATTGCTTATGCAATTTTTTTAATCGCCACCATTTAGACCAATAAGAAAAAAGAAGTACTATTTTGGTTACAGTCCCATAATAGTCCATTAAATAGTATTTTTTTTTTAACATTTTTCCCGTAGAAAAATTGGAAGTGGCACGCATTTTTTTCCTAAAGAGGCCTTCTGCACTGAGAAAAAAAAGTATGGTCAAAACTACCAGAGTATGGTAAAATTCACAGCTCAATGAGAACTATGGGACCGAAAAAAAACACGGAAAGTTTTTCGGAACGCTTTGCTAATGATTTTGGGTAAAATTAATAATGAAATATGGTTTTATAACCATGCTGTTTAGTAGTAAATGTGTAAAATTTATTAATTTTATCATGATACTTTAAAGCATGGCATAAAAACCATTTATTTGGTTAAATTTATTTTCAAGCTTCGTATTTTTACTAAATGTATGGTAATAAAAACTTAATTTTTAAAATCAGAAATTCCGGTGAACTGTTACTGTACGAACGGAATAGTTTAAATACCGCATATTTTGATGTTATTACCAAAATTACTATTATTTATTTACTTTTTTAAAAATGTTTTTATCATGCAAGTACAGTAATTTTAGAGGAATTTTTTATTCGAGTGGCGTAAATAAATAAGGAGAACGTATGAAACATATCAACAAACTTAACTTTTTGTTTAAAAAAAAAATAGTTTAAAAATTGAAAGCAAGACAAGAAAGAACTCTCGTGTGCAATTAGTTCGAGGAATTTTACTGTTATAGATTGACTAATAAATTTTCCTAAGTGATGTGCATTCTCATTTACACAAATAGCTACATATTTTAAATTTGACTAAAAACAACAAATAAGACAACATATGTTCATTTAAGTTTTCATTTCTATAAAAAAATTATTTATGCATTCCTTTATTTTTCAAATTACAATCAATGGAATACTGAAAGTTTGTTCGTATTCCGAGCATTTGAAAAAATTTTGTTCTTTTGGGTTGCGCTGCAATACTATTGGATACTAACTTTCAATTTTATTACAAATACTTTTCTCTCTCAAAACTGAATGATGTAAAAATCAGCATTTTAAAAGTAGTATACTTTTATCATCTTATAAAGATTTTGAACGAATTCGCGATTAAATGCATATTTTATGTTTATCTTTAAGTTTTGATGAAAATTTTATATTAATATTTATTGCTGTAAATGTTTGAAGAGTAAGTAAAACTATTCGTACATAGTTTTTTTAAAGCGTAATTTAAATTGTTGTTCGTAAATGCTCATTTTCCCGTAGTTAACAAATGTAGTTATGTTTTCCATTTTTCATTATATTTTACCAGCGAACAATATAAATACTGTAAAAATAATTAGTAATGCCAAATAGGATAATCTGTCTTATAATTTAATATTATTTGACACGTAAACAGTTAAGTTGAATGTAATAATTCAGAACTATTGCATTCCACAACGATATATCTATAATCAACATTATATATGTTCAATATCTGTTTTTTTAACTAATTTTGTTAATGCAAGTGATTTTCAATCAGTATTTAATGTTCTCGTAGTTAATATTTTTAAAGGCATTATCTTAGGAGATCACTCATGTATTCTTCGCTGTAATATATATATA